GGAATCGGAATCCATTTAGGATTGGTTGGCGGAAGCGGAGCAGAGGGCGGAAGTCCGGCGTCATTTGGACAAGAATTTCATCCACACCCATCCTCCTGCACGTCCACCGTGGTGGCCTGCAAGGGGGCGGGAAACCAACCCGTCTCTTTACTGTCTTCTCATTGGCACGCCCCTCTCTCTTTCCTTCTCTTTCCTTCTTTTCTCCTCTCCCCTCTTCCCCTGTCTTCTCTCCCCTCCCCTCTTCCTCCTCTTCCCCTTTTCCCCTTTCTCTCTTCCTCTCTCTCCCTCTCTCTCCCTCTCCCCCTCTCCCTCTCTCCCCCTCCGCCTCTTTCTCTCTCCTTCTTCTTTCACTTCCCCTACTTCCTTCCTGCGCTCTTCCCCCTCAACCCTCTCTCTTCCCTTCCTTCTCGGCCTCTTTCCCCCCTCTCCTCTCTCCTCTCCCCCCTCTCCTTCTCCCTCTTCTCTTCCTTTCGCCCCCCTCCTCCCCCTTCCGCTCTCCCTTTTCTCTCTCGTTCCCCCTCTTCTCTCCTTCTCCCCCTTCATCCCTCCTTTCTCTTTTCCCCTCCCCTTCTCTCTCCTCTCTCGGGCCTTTTCTCCTCCTCTCCCCCCCTTCCTTTTCCCTTCCTCTCTCCACTCCCACTTCTTTCCCTCCTCTCTCTTTCTTCCCCTTCCGCTCCCTCTCCCCCTCCTCCCTCTTCCCCCTCTCCCTTTCCTCTCTCTCCTTCTTTCCCCCTTCCTTTCCCCCTCTCTCTCCTGTTCTCCATGCTTACCCAACATTTTTAGGAATAGGTGAGGGGACCCATGACAATCGTCATCACGGACCCTGAAAGGTTCGCCCAGGTATTGGCATTCCTTGTACAGATTTACTGTTTCTTAGGGAGGCGCTGCATTTAAAAAATCTGTTTTGAGGAATAATTAATTAAAGGCAAAATAGTTAAATAATAAATAATTAAATTAAGGGATTAAAATTTAAATACATAAAACATGTTAAACATGTACATACCAAAAAACAACATATACATGACATGTTACATGTAAACATACAAAACACAACATACATTATTACATGTACATTTACAAAACGCCAAAAAAAACATGCTTAACATTTGTACAAAAACCAAAAACCACATTACATTGTTTACATGTTACATTGTTTTAACAGTCATAAACAACAAAATTTACATTACGTTTGTACATTATTAAACGCAATAACATGTACAATTGTACATTACCAAACACAATATAACATGTACATGTTAAACATGTACATAACAACACACCATACATACTAACAATGTAAACATTTTACAAAAAAACGCAAAATTTTTACCATTTTACCATTGTAACCATTTACAAACAACATTAACATGTTACATTTGTACATTTTAACATATAAACACAAAAAAATACATGTACATGGTACATTATAAACGCAAAATTACATGTACATGTTTAACATTTAACCAAAAAACACATTTTACATGTAACATTTTGTTTACATATAAAACGGGGCAAATACCAATTTTTTGTAACATTACCAAACCCCAACATACATTGTACAATGTAATTTAGAAACCACAACGCCAACGCACCGCACGCACCGCAGCACACCCCCAACACTCTCCCCACACCACGCAAACCACACGCCAACACAACCCAACATTGTACTCACAACGCAACCAGCGGCACGCCACCGGCACAAAACCCACGCAAACCCCACGGCACGCCAACACAACAACATTTGTACTTACGCGCGGCGGTGCGAAAACCCGCTTTTCATTCGTAGTACCAATCTCCCATGTTAATTAGAAAAAACACACGCCACCCCACCGCACCGCACAACACGCACCCCCACGCACCGCAACAACACATGTACTCAACGGGCGCGCCGGCGGGAACCGCTTCATCGTAGTAACATCTTTCCATTTTTGCCGTTGTTTCCTCCCATCGTAAACCGCCAAGCGGAAGGCTTCGCGAATATCTCCACGCCGCCGCCGCCACAGCGCTTTCACCAACGACACGCCATCTGCGCTCCGACGACGCTCGCTTTTTGCAGCGGGGGGGGGACGCCAAACCTAGCAGCGCGGGGCTTTTCCACATGTTGCAAAGCGGGGGAACTTTTCCATTGCTGGGGAATTTGAATAGAGGGCCGGCTGGTTCGTGTGTGTGAGAATCGTAGGAGGGGCGCTTTTTGGTTGTGGTGTATTGTGAGGAATGCCAAGAGGGTTACTGCTTGCTGTTACTTACTTTGCTTTGGCTGCTGGCTGCTGCTTTTATTTTTTGCTGCTTGCTTGCTGCTACTGCTGCTTTTTGGTACTGCCTTGGCTACTTACTTTGCTTTTGCTTTTGCTTGCTTTGCTGCTTTGTGCGGGCTGCTGTTACTGCTGCTTTACTGTTTGTCTTTATACTTTGCTTGGCCTGCCTCTTACTTGCTGTTTTTGACTTGCTGTTGCTGCTTGCTTTTGCTGCTGCCTTGTTGCTTGAGCCAACCTGCTCTGCTTAAAGCGTTACGTTTACTGTCTAACTTTGGCAGTGTCCCGTACTTCTTAAAAAACTGCCTTTTGCTTGGCATTTCAGGGTGGGGAAACATTGGCCACGACAACACACCACTTCATGCAAACCCCAACCGGCTCAAAAAGGCTTCCGTTCACTCGGTTGGCCAAGCAAAAGCGGTCGCAAGCGGGTCAGTTAAGGGGTTTTCACGCAACCGACGTTTTAACCTTGCGGTTCGTTTACCTGTGTGTTTAACCTGTGATTGCTGTTAAAGTCCTCTGTTTCATGGTCAGGGCAAGCGGGCAGGTGTGTTATTACCGGTAGGTGGGGGACGAGTTTAGATGGAAGAAGTTGGGGTGAGTTGTGGCTGGGTGGGGCTGGGGTGGGGTTTGGTGGGGGGGGGTTAAAGGGCTTATTTACACATGGTATGTATTGTAGACTATAATTTTATTAATTTCAATATATTATATTATATACGGGGTAAGGAGAGACAGAGAACGGGAGAGAGAGAGAGGAAGGAGGGAAGAAGAGAAGGGAGAGAGAGGGACTGAGAGAGAAGCGACCCAGGCGCGCGGCGCGCGGAGAGAGAGGAAGAAGAGAGGGAGGGAAGAGAGGAGAGAAAGAGAGGAGAGGAGGAGAGAGAGAGAGAGAGAGAAAGAGAGAGGACGAGAACAGGAGAGAAGGAAAGAGAGGAAGAGAGACAGGAACAAGACAGGACAGCAGAGAGGAGAGGAAAAGGGAAGGGAGAGAAGGACGAGAGGAGGAGAAGAAGAAGAGAGGAGAGAAAGAAACAGAAGGAGGGACCAGTGAGAGAGAGAGAGAGGAGGAGAGAGAGAGGGACAAAGAGGGACAGGAGGAGAAGAGGAGAAGAAGGAGAAGGAGAAGAGAGAGGAGGGAGAAGAGAAGAATGAGGAGAGAGGAGAGAGAGAGCAGAGAGGAAAAGGAGAGAGAGAGAGAGAGAGGAGAGAGAGGAACGAGGAGAGAAAAGAGCTGTTACCGGTTTCGACTGCGTGTAATATTATGCGGTCCTATGTTTTAAAAATTTTGCAACAGGCCCTCCCCGCGTGTTCTCCTATCCCCTTTTGGACCCTAACCTTTACTGTACCCCCTGAACCCCCGGTACTTTGCGTTTACTTACGCTTAGGGTCTCGCCAGCCATCGTGAAATTTGCTATTGTGAAGTCGTGTTTATATAAAGATATAGCCGCACATTCTAGCGATAATATTTATCTCTCTCTCTCTCTCTCTCTCTCTCTCTCTCGTCTCTCTCTCTCTCTCTCTCTCTCTCTCTCTCTCTTCTTTCGCTCTCTCTCTCTAGTCTCTCTCTCGCTCTCTCTCTCTCTCTCTCTCTCTCTCTCCCTCCTCTTTCTCTCTCTCTCTGTCTGTCCTGTCTCTCTCTAATCTCTCCCTTTCCCTCCCATGTCCCTCTCCCACCTTCGCTCTCCCTATATCTTCTCCCTTCCCTATCTATTTCCTCCCTCCGACTTTCTCACTCTTGCCCTCCCCTCTCTCTTCTCCTGCCCCCGAAACCCTCTTCCCTCTCATCAACCACTCAACCCCCTCTCTCTCTCTCTCTCTCTCTCTCTCCTCTCTCTCTCTCTCTCTCTCCATCCTGTCTCTGTCTCTCAATCTCTCACTATCTCTCTCTCTCTCTTTCTCTCTTTCGTCTTTTTCTCTTTCTCTCTCGCTCCCTCTATCTCTTTCTCCCTCCCTCCTTCTCTCGCCTCTCCCTTTTTCTCCCACCAAGAGCTATATTATATATATATACTATAATAATATATTATCTATGTCTTGATTACTATATAATATAATATATACTATATATAGCTCCTTGGTTACTAGCAGAGATGAGATTGAGCGTCGATTTAGTATAGATGTGTGTGGAACTACTGGCGACATCTGTTGGATGATATGTAGCCACTAGAAGCATTCTTATTGTTCCGCTCCTTCCCAGTTAAAAAAAAAATTGTGGAGACTACTAACATGAGGTGTTTTTATTTTATTGTGTTATGTCATGTTATGTTTCAGTGAAGTTGAGTTTAATGAGTTTAAATTCATTTGAATGAAGTGATTCATTTAATATTTTTTTTTGTAACATAGCAAGTTAGGGGACCATCTCTGCTCTCCTTAGTTTTAACTTTGGGGACCATCTCCGCTCTCCTTTGTTTAACTTAGGGGACCATCTCCGCTGAACTTTGTTCAACTTTGGGGACCATCTCTGCCCCGAATATCTAAGCCCTGTTTAATGTCGTCACATCATTGTTAACACACATTTCATTCTCCCCCCTCTGTAAGTTCAATCTTCACCCACCCTAATTTAACTCCGAGGGACCGTCACATCATTAACGTGTGTCTTTCTTTCTCTCACTACTGCTGCAGGTTTCTCGAGTATCTGTCTGACTTGTGCATCTCTAACTTAGGCTACAATCTCTGCCCACCATAGCTGCTAAACTTTATTTATTCTCATCATATCATTCTTAACGTGTGTCTTTCTTTCTCTCATCGCAG